ATATATTTGTTGGCAAGGTAGTTCGACGTCCGATGGCCCTAAAAAAGACTGGTGAGCTTCTTAAAAACAGGATAAAATTATTATTATTTAAGAAACTATTGAGTTATTGTTTTCATAGATATTTAAAATTGAAAATTTTCGAATTAGTATTCGTTCTTATAATGAAGGATGGATATCAAATATTATATGTTCTAATGTATTTGTTGATTTAAATAGTTGTTTGATTAATAGTGTTGTACTTACATCAAGCGATTAGTATACCAGTTTTTTAAATAAAAGAATTCTTTAAAAGTTAACAGAAGTAATTGAAACCTGGTACAGCAAAGATAACGAAACGTATAAGGGGGTTGATAAGTCAGACAATAATATTCATATAAATTTTTTAACAGATATATTAAATAGGATCCATGAATTTACCACTGCATAAACTCAGTTTTAAAATAAGTACAATAGTAATGCTTATAAGAAATTTGAGTATATCAGACGGTTTATGTAATGGTACTCGAATCATCGAAATACAACATAGAAGGAGGAACAACTGGAGAAAAAAGAGGACAAAAAGTTTTTATCTTAAGAATAACTTCAAACACTGGCAACACTTCTTTACTCCCTTTACTCCTTATTATTTTATATCTTGAGCAATTCTCAATAGTTACGGCATTTGCTATGACTATCGATAACTCTCAAAGTCAAAGTTGATAATGTTGGTTTGTACTAAAGAACACTAGTATTTTCTTATGGCCAACTGTATGTAGCTTTATTAAGTTGCAAAAATGAAAATTATATACTTATTTAAGTTACAAGAGATAATTCTTTTATCGAAAACATTGTTTGGAAAGAATGAACACCTACAAATAGATATGATTTTTTACATTTACTTCAAAGTTTATCTATTAATCATCATTACATTATTTAATAACAATAAATTTCATAACGTATTCTTATCCTATAACGAAATTTGAAAAAAGAAGTTTCTTCTAAATCATCAAAGAACATCGTTAATTACTTAAATTTTTTGAACTAAATTAAGTGTTAAAATAATAGTTTTGTATACACGTTATGACAAAATTATTTATAAACAATTTTAATGTACCAACATTATTATAGTATTCTATTGTTTGAAGATTTATAGCATAAAAATTAAAATAGTAAGAAACTAAATTTGGTTTTACCGTCAGCTGCTTACACATGATTGATTTACAACACTCATACGTCGAAGGATCTGGTAACGTAAGAAACATGTATTTCTAAGTTTTGAAAAGAACTATTTTATCATTAAAAAAAAAGTTAATGAAATGAATAATTCATTTATTAATATAATGTATAATCGACTAATTATTTGGCTAACAGTTAACGAATATCGAACATAGTAATAAGTTACAAACCACACTAGAACAAGGAGAAAGAGATTAATCTGTAATAAAGGTCGCTCGTCACAGAGTAGATAAGGTAGTCAGTTAGTGTGTAGAAGATTGCTGATTGGATTCTCGAGAAAACCGTTGGTTTTTTTTTTTTTAGCATAAAGTATTAAAAAAAAAAATAAAATTTTAAAATTTTCTTTCTACGATTCAACAATTTTTTTTTCAAATCGTGCGTCACATAGATTTGAAAGATAATACAACCAAAAAATCAAAAAAGTATTCTCGAAGTCAGCAGTCATTAGCTTGGCCACCAATCAATAGAAAAAGTTTTATCCAGTAACTGTAACAAGAGATTTTTCGTTCAAATCAAAGTAGTGAGGGGTTGGCGCGCGAAGTGCGCGGGGGGTACAGTTTTAATAGTATATATATACATACTAAAAACTGATTTTAAATCTATACTTCTTCCATACGAGCTCGAGATTGTGGACGTTGTCTCCTTACTCGACTGCTGCGAAAAAACAATGGCTAAAAGGTGCTTAAGATATGTGTATTATTAGAAAAAGTTGAAAAGTAATAAGTATATTTTAAGGCTAATGCAGAAAAAAAATATTTTTACTAGAAATATAAGTTATAAAACCGTAAAGCATCTTATATTATTGGTATAATCCTTTTAATAATAAAATCAATCCAAGTCTTAGCCACCATAGATTTTTCATTATCGCTAAAATTTTTGTCAATAGTCATGTGTATGGTACCTTCTGACTTTTCAAAGTCACATCAATGACGTTTTCTGTTTCTTAATTGTTGAATAATCTGACATTTATGTTTATCAAAACCTACGATAGCTCCATAACTGTATGAACTGTTATAAAAATGTCCATTTGTACAATTTGACGTCCTATGTCATATAAAACAATAAAATTGACGATATTTCTAACGGATTTATTAAGCTCTATCAAGTTGTCATTTTCAACTATGGTTACGTTCACCTTACTTGTAATATCATCCTAAATCTTGACCAGCCTAAAATATAAGAGAGTAAAAAAATANAAATTTAATAAAAATAGAATAAAAAAAGGCAAGTGCATTCAGTTATAAAAATAATACTTAAAAAATTCATTATGACTTAAATGTTAAGAAATTATTGCAAAACACATTTTTACATTTCTTAAAGTAGCCTATTAGAATTTTCTACACAAGCTTTTTCTCCAAAAAGGCAGCCTTTTCGCAACTTTTTTGCAACTTTCTCGGGAACTAAAACTATTTATAAGGCTGATGTGTTTTTATATAGAACCGTATTTATAAAAATATTGTTGTGAATTTTGCTTTTTTACTTTGTGATGCTCTCCAAAGTCATCCATTATAAATTGATGACAATGATCATCTTTAACCTTAAATTTTGAATGGAGACCCTACCAGCTTTAACTAACAATATTTTGAAGCGATATTGTAAAATTACAAAATTTATATTTCAAATTACAACCCATAGCATTTATGTTTACAATAAGGTTACCGTCAACAAAACTTATAGAGAGCCTTGTTTCGTCAAAACTTTTTTGTTTTGGAGTCTTCCATCTTGTTACTGCTGCCTTTTTTATTTTGTTACATTAGTCAACTTCCTATTTTTCCATAAATCGAACTCTTAGATAAACGCGAGAGAAAGTCAACATGATTTAATGTTTCAAAACAACAATTATTAAAAAAGTTATGAGGAAATGTAACATCGCTGTAACCTTTAAGAACTTTGCACTTCACAGAGACAATCAGGTATTTGTCATAAAATCTTTTATTTCTGCTACAGCTAACGTATAGTTAGTATCGTATATATTTATATTTGGTTGGCATACATATTTGGAAACAATTACCTCAAAAGTAAGCAACAAGTTGCGAAAGGCTTGGTATTCAATATTCATTCCAAATTATATATATTAATAAGCTTAGATCTACAATTCATGGCTCAAGTCGTGGCAGATGATCCATTTAAAAAAAATAATGATTCAGGTGTGGTAATGCTCTTGAAAAACTTTTTCTTTTAATAATTAAGAACTTTTTCTTTCTACCTCACTCGAAAATTCGAGATTCGGTGGCAGTGTATAGGGACAAAAGCCAATGTTCCTTTCCTATCGACGTGACATCTTTATTGTGTAGAGGGGACGGAGACAGAACTCCCTGCTCCCTACATCTCCTTACTTGAATTGAATTGAATTGAATTTATTATTAAAGAGCTAAGAGCAGAGCGCTCTTCATAGCTCGGTTCGTTACATATAATTGAATACAATTGTGAGGTTAATTACTAATTGACACTGGTGTCATATGCACCAATAACAAAGAGACTGTACATAAAACAAATATAAAACAACAATAAAATAAATAATAATAATTATTCATATAAATAAATAAATTAAAATAAGGCAAATAGGCAGACGACAAGTCTTTAAAACCAACAATTAAGTACACACAGGTAACACACACATAAAATTTACAGACACGTCCCTTAAGAATAACGGAAGTGGTCCTGCCGCAAAAATTCGGCCAGTTTCCTCTTGAAACAGGGTCGGTCAAACTGCACACGAATGACAATTGGTAACCGATTCCAGAGTCGAGCAGCGTAAACTCTAGACGAGTCACTGTAGAACTCAGTCCTCGTCCACGGGATAACCAGATCCAGGGTACTTGCTCTGTTAAAGCCTGCAGCATCAGATGAGTGGAAAACCATCCTCTCAAATATATACTGCGGCTCACCAGATTTGAAAATGCTACAAAGCAAGCCAACACACATGTAGTCCCGACGAACACTGTAGGGCATGAGATTGAGGTGAATGTACGTGGGTGTGATGTGCTCATTCTTCTTGAGCCCCGCAACAAATCTAACTGCCGCGTTCATAGAACGCTGCATTTTCACCAGCTGCTCCGATGACAAGCCAAGAAACAGGCAGGCAGCATAATCGTAGCATGGGAGGACAAGCGATCTTACAAGCAGCAAACGCATTTCAGGCACGAGAGAGTCACCACACTTACGCAATCGAGAAAGAGCAGCGTATCACTTCCTACTGGTCTCCGTAATCTGCTGCGCCATAGTCAGAGGCCCATCAAGGATAATTCCCAGGACCCTAACGGCATCGCTGTACTCAATAAAATTACCACCTACCCTAACCTTCGGTGAATTAGAATGACGAATACGGCTGACAAAGCCACGGGAGCCATACCACGCAACCTGCGTCTTCCCCGAGTGAACTTCCAGGGCACAGTTAATGCCCCACAGACTAAGCGCATCAAGGTCCTCATTCATATCACCAACCAAGCGAGGCACTTCGCTATAACGTCCCTTTATGTACAGAGTGAGATCATCTGCATATATGTGATGCTTGCAGTGTCTCAGCACAGAAGGCGCATCGTTAATATACAACGAGAACAGAAGAGGGCCCAACACACTCCCCTGAGGGACACCCGCCCTCCGAAACAGTGGAGCCGATCTTCCGCCATCATCGTCCAACACCACCTGCTGTCTACCGGAAAGGTAGGATCCAATCCATGTGCACGCTGAGTCAGAGAATCCAAGCCTCCTAAGCTTCACCAAGAGCAAGCCAGCATCAACACAGTCGAATGCCTTTGAAAAATCGACAGCAACAAGCAGCGTGATCAGCTGATTGTCTGCAGCCTCCCTTATGTCATCGACCATCTTTATAAGTGCAGTATGTGTGCTATGATGCTTTCTGAAGCCGGACTGCCAGTAATCGATAAGGTCACGGCGCTGGATGTATGCAGTAATCTGCTCGGCAGCGACAGCTTCCAGAATTTTGGAGGTGGCCGACAAAAGAGCAATAGGTCGAAGTTGGCCAAGGTCAGTTGGCTGTCGACATTTAGGAATCGGACGTACAAATGACATTTTCCACGCATCAGGAAATACTCCCGACTGTAATAAGCAGTCGAATATATGCAACAAGACTGGGAGAATTGTTGGAAGACAGCTTCTAAGGCTCCTTACAGGTATACCATCCGGGCCAACAGCATTAGACTTGGCCCTGGCGATCGCCCTCAATAGGCTCTCCGGTTACTTGAGAGAGAGATAGAGAAAGAGAGAGAGAGAGAGAGAAAGAGGGAGAGAGAGCAGTGGTGCAAAAGTGCATAAGTATAAATTACTTACCTACGCTACGTTTATTTATTTTTTTCGAGCTGTGAGAAAGCTTCTACATAGAGCATACGTCTAACTCAGGTTGCCTATCATTAGTTATGCATGTAATCTCTTTCGATAGTATGCAACATAATCAATTTCTAGCCTCAATCTGAACATAGAAACAATGATTAAATAATAGTTGAAAAATCTTATGAAAATTAAACATGTGACTTTTGCAGCAACCGATTCCCAGGAGTCATGCCCATAGTGACAGTACATTTTATGATTTTTGTTTTAATTTAATGTGATCAAGGTTAGGCTACTTTGAACGTAATGATTAATGATAGGAATGTAAAAAAAAATTCTTATTAAATATTCAAAAAAGCCGGAATTACATTTATTCCTTTTTTTCTTTTGCAACAACTTAATATTTATTGGATAACTTTTATTGAACTAGCATGTTGCGTGTGAACACAGCCGATCCCACATGGATTGCCTGGTTCGAATTTAAAGGAATGAGATATAGATACAGGGGGGGGTTGTACTGTATAGAGGGTTGGTTTAAATTAAATTAAAAAAAAATAATACAAAAAAAATAAATAGTGATTAAAAATTAAATAGAATTAAAGGGAGAAGAAGGTTAACACAATTAAGAACAACTAATTAATGGGAAAAAGCCTATGGCATAAAAAACCCAGATTTATTAAAAACGAATCAGAATTAATACAATTGAAGAAAAAACAGTTAAACTAATTATATCATTAACAATGGGACCAATAATAGCCTATGTTGTGTTAGTATGAGTATATGTGAGGATGTGCGGGAGGACCTGGTGGTGACGACTCCCAGTGTGTGTGTGAGTTCAAGGCGAATGAGGGAGGAGTGATCTCCTCTGCGAACCGGCGGGCCCTGCACGGTCGCACGAGTCAGCGCAAGGCTGGTGAAAGCGGGCCGACGCCCGGAATTCGAAATTAACTACCACCTGCGGCAGCTCAGTAGTGATGTTATGTGAGTGGCGTATTCGGGTGAGGACCCTGAATCCGGAACGAGAAACGGGATTGAACGGATGAGACGTGGCGGGATGACAGCGGGATGACGATATGCACTGAGTGTGGTGTAACAGACGTATGATTGGTGTAATAGACGTATGATTGATGCAGGTAATGGCGTGATTGAATGCGGATGCGTGGATAGAAGTTAACCTAAAATGATGGTGGATATATGTAGGCAGAGATACTGAGCGGATGATGATAGAGGTTGTAGGGTGACGTGACGTATGGATAAGCTGTTCGTTGACGTGAGGTGAAATAATTAGCGAGATTTGTATTGAGCAGGGCGCGGATGATGCAGATGGGATGAGCGTAGGCGTGCAGACGGGTGAAAACAGATAAGCCGAGAGCGATTGTGAAGGTGATTTCGGGTAAAGAAGGGTTGGATAGAGAACAGAAGAGTAGCACAAACGAGAGGAGAAAGGGTTGTGATGACGGTGAGGACGAGCAAGGGACTGATGGATGAACGATGAGCAAATGAGAATGGAGGCTGCAAAGGCACAGACCTAGCACGACGCGTGCTTAATGAGATGTGATGAAGAAGCAAGTCATGAAAGAATGAAAGGTCGAGGTGATGAACGAAAGATGAAAATGAACTACAAACTAAATGAATCGTGATAAAAGACTTAGCGTCTCGATGTCGATGTCCTGAGTCCTGGGGCTCGATGGCAGCGGCGAAATCTCCTGCTGACGGTGCAGACTGCAAGCGATAAAAAAAACACTAAGCGTGAAGATGCTTCCAATTCGGCAGGCCAAGCAAGAGAGAGCGTGCAGGCTAAAGAATAACTGCCAAGTCCTGAAGTCCCGCCCCTCCCACCACCGCGCCGACGGGACATGAGCCAATCAGCGACGGAGGCGGGCGCGCGCAAGGCTCCAGGGGAAAATGAGGTGCGTGCGATTCTAGAATTCGGACCAAAAACGGAATTCGCTCAATTCCGTCTCTCGACGGAACATAGCAAATTTTTTTTTTAATACAACACTTAATTTTCATCTCCTTTAAACTCATAAGCAAAACTTTTTGAGGCCTTTGCTGATTTGAAGACTGGTGGATCGTAAGACTTAGCTCGATTTTCTTTTTCTTTTTAGGTTCCACTTACAAGGTTTATCGATAGTAAGAATCGAAAAAATACATACTTATTTTCATAAAATAATAAATTATTTTTAAATACTGATTATAATTTGTTACCTCTTTATGAATTCTAAAGTTTTTCCAATTTCAGGTGCATAACAGTAACTAAATATGTAGTAACTAAGGAATGTTATCAGAACACCGTTGATAGCATCAGTGCAACGAACTGCAATTTTTTTTTCTAACATAAGATCAATAATTGCACTTTCATCGTATAATGATGATCCTAAGAATTTTGTATTTATTAACATACTTGTTAAATAATTATATTTAATATACCTTTTTAAATAAGTAAATCTTTACCTCACATTATTATAGGATAGTCAGATTTGACATAATTTTTCAAATTTTAATCAGTGATTAAGTGCTGTAACAAAAATTTTTTTTATTAATTAAATTATTTATGTTAATAAGCTATAAAAAAAAATATTAGAAATGTGCTTGATTTACTGACATCCTTTGTAGCACATAAGAATTCAGTTTTTCACTGGAATGATTTACTAAGATCGGGAAAACCGCAAGTATTTTAGGTATCGTATCTCATCGAAGCTTACAAGCAGCTTTATACTCGTTTTCTATAAGTTGACGTTCATCATTAGTTTTTTTTTTTGTATTATAGTAAAAGTAGCGTTAAATGTACTTAAATTTTCAAATTAGTGCAGCTTCCCATTATTCGAGCACGTTTTTTCAAAACAGTTTTTTACTGCTTTCTATGAGCATCGACATTTTTTTCAAAGATGGTCACTCTTCAAAAATTTTACTGAGATCTTGCGTTTTTTCATTGAATAATGTTCTCATTGATAGATACGTGTCCTCAAGCAACCTTTTTGCTTGCTTTTTTTCTTTCTTCATTTTTAAAACATTCTGATAGAATTTTCCTTTTTTTTTCTTAAGTATCTTTAGTTTCTCCAGTACTTAAATTTAGTACATGTTCGACACATCCATATGAATCAAGTTTCAGACTAATATGTTCCACTTCTTTTCGTCTAGCCAGGTCTTCATCATCGCTATCGATTTGATTGTGAGTTCGTTTGTTTTTTTTCTTTATTTTTTCTTCGCCACCTTGCAAGCCTTTTTGATATAAACAAGCGTTGTATATAAATAACTAGTAGCCCCCCGTCTCGGCTTCGCCCGAGACTTACTAAATAAAACACCGTAGTGTGTTGACATGTAATGTGAAACGTTTTCAGTTAGGAATTTTACACATATTCCTGACACATCTCAAAACGAAAATGTTCTTATTGAAAACATATTTTGTCGGAATCCATATAGTTTATTTGGTCAAATAATAAGGTGTAAAAATTCAAAAAAATAGTTATGCTGAAAAGTACCGTGCGTTCTCTGTGCCATAAAATAATCGGTGGCCATAAGAAGCCGTTGATTTACAATTTCTCCCGTGTAATTCACGAAAACGGCTATTTTTTAAAGCTGTTAAGATTTTAAACCCCCAAAAAATTTATGTTAAAAAAAAATTTTTTTTCTCATATCTCACAACTTTATTACCAGAGCAACAAAGTCCTGGACCTTAAACCCTACATTTTTATTGCCACAAAAACACAAATACATTTTCTACTCATTAAAAAATCTGAAGTAGGATCTTTAAA